TACCCAAGTAGAGCTAAAAGTATATTTTAAAGATAAACCCGTATCATAACATAGCTACAAAACTTTTGCTTATACCATATTTAATTTTGATCTGTCAGTATTAAATAGATTAAATTTTGCACATTATTGAACGATTAACCCACCTTTGTTAACTTGAAGTATTTCGTAGGATTCTTCATTAGTATAAATGGGGTTCTGGTGACTTTTGTTTTTACTGCCATAAATGACAAAGATTATAAAATAGAATTCAAAACGATAATTTTCTAAATGATATGTTTTCTCTATAGATACATTTACTGCTAAATTAAACAGAAGCAAGTTTAATTTAAAAAAAATATACCTTGCTTTTTTTCTCTTCGTTTTTTTCTGAAATATAAATATAGCATATAAATTTAATTACAAATATAATTGAAAGACGTGTATAAAAATAAAGCGTAGTTTCCATGATTCACTGGTTATCGCACAAAGTGAATCTCGTTTTCTGTATATTATTGATGTGATTTATAAAGAAGCGTAGACGTATTTCTGATCTCCTGTATTGAATAGCTCACCAGAATATCCACAAGAACAAACGTTTCCTTTTCTTCTTCTAAGACACTGTACCAGGAGGACAGAGCTTAAAGCAATGACAATGGCCGACAGTAAACCAGTTGTTGCTCCAAAAGCTGTAGCTGGTATACATTGAGGGTCTTCAACAAGTCCTGCTGCAGCTGTTATTTCTTGGGATTCTTTCTGGGCTTTAAGTAAAGAATATGATTTAAAGTTAAAGTTAGTGATTTACATTTTTTTTATGTAGAATAATAGCGTATATCTAGGAAGACGGATTTTGTAAATCCTGATTCAAGTGATATCAAATATATAAAAATTAAAAGATTGCATATTCTCACAAGGTTTTCGTTCGGAAATTTTATGAATATGAACAATGAAATTTGCACATCTTATTCTAGCTTCAGATTAGATGTCTAGGTAGACGGAATGCATTTTTGCGACGTAAAAGTGATATATTATGCATTATATTTCAAACATTTGTCCAACTAAAAGATACTGATTAAAATATCATTTGTAAAATACATCATAACCATATTGTTAATTTTAATCACTTTAAAAGACACACATAATTATAAATTATATTATTTTTATAATTCTTACAGTAAACGAGGATAGTGACTGGATCTGAAAGTTCGTCGTAGACATAGATAGAGGAGGATATGCCTTTACATCTGCAAGCAATCCCATTGTGTCGTGCAGTTACTTTGATTTCTAAGTAAGTCTCCTTTCCTAAGTCCACTCCATTCAGGGGAGGAAGATCGTCACAAATCCATCTCCATGATATTTGTGGATATCCGAGTGATGTGAGATTACACTTGATAGTAATGTACTCACCGCTCACTACAGTTTAGGAGATACAGGATAGATCCTTGGTCCTGTCCGGGGTGAATCTTACAAAAGTCAACATTTAGTCACCAAATTCTATTTCAAAGGATCATTCTCTATAAGGCCGTTTTGCGGCCTACAATGACTTCAAATTTTCAGATAGCATTTTTTCCCATAAAAATTGCATGAATCAGTAGGCTGATATTTCAATTTAATGATAAATATTGATTGGTTAATGATACAATAGTATTTGTTATGATATAGGGTCACAAAGTAAGGTACTATCGGTCCGTACTAGCATTAGAGTAATATGGGAAAACTCAAGAGGGTGGCTGTGTTATATAACTCCTGCGCATGTCATAACCACCTTTAACCAACACCAAAATTTGCATGTAAACTTCTTATAAACATAAAAAATGACTACCAAATTATGAACTTGGTTAAAGGTGGTTATGACATGTAAATAAAAACTTTTCGCTTTATTTTAATGATATTTGCAGGGAAAGCAAACTACACACAATGTAACATATCGGGTTATGTAGATTTTTTCTTTTAATGATTTTTTAGTTAAAGTACAATTTTCTGTTGATTTACTATTAGCCATGCATGTTCACTCAAAGTGTCAACTTTTAACTTAAAAAATCTAAAATCAAAGGACTGAGAAAACTGGATGTCATAAAAATTAAGAAAAAAACGGAATAAACTTTTTCGATCATTTGCATTCAGAAATATGCATAGAAACTTGATGTGAGTAGACCTACCCTCAAATTTTCTTTAACTGACGGCCATTTTTGATCTCTCAATCACGTGACTTAATTGATCGATGTTAAAAAAAACAAACATTAAAATCATGATATTATAATGATTACAGTGATATAAAATTGTATTTAAAAGTGATTTTATCGTAGGCCGGAAAAGGCCTTATAGAGAATGAACCTTTAATACTCCATACACAGTGATTAAAAATAGTTATGATTTTCATTTGAAATACATAATTAAATTTCTAAACATAGCTCCATGCCCACGTAAATTGTTACTCAATAAATCTTTATGTGCATATAAGCATAATTTTAATGATGAGTATTGGCAAAAAATAAAATAAAATAAAATATTCCAAGTATAGTCTTTCTTAAAGCATGCAACATGTTTAAAAATTTAAAAAAAATATTTTTAAGGTTCCTTCTTGATTTATAATTAGAACAGGAAATTTTTATTCAAAGCATATTAAAGGATATCAAGTTATATGTAATAAGATAAGATATATTGGATGCATACTCGAATTTATTTCAAATGGTAAATTTTACTTTATTTAACTAGCATACATGAAGAAAATTTATATGGAAAAGGGATCTTTTTTATTTGCGTAACTTCAAGTTTGGGGTACAGATTGACCCTGCAATGGCAAAATCATCTTCAAATTATAAGAAAACCAAGCATGGAGAAATGCTTATAATAATTATTTATTAAGAGCCATTCTATGTAACCACTTAAATTTCGTTGCCACGCATGGTCACCGATTTTAACGAAACTCCACCCATTCTTAGTACTTGACACCAAAAACATACGTCATATAAAATTTTGTTGCTAAGTGTCTCGGTTGCCATGATAACAGCCGAAAAAAACTGAAAAATTGAGATGTTCAGCTACTTTATATCTTTACTGAGCCTTAATAAAGACTAGGAAAAGCAAACAAACAATTCTCACAAAAACATGTCACCTTGTTGCCACATATACTGTAAAGAAACTGTTTAGAATATATCTCTAAGTTAGTGGTAACCAAGGTACATTTGAAAGACATTTAAAATGCTGAAATATGCTGAAAAACGCTCACTATTCAATAATGGTATGTGGTATATGTACATGCTCAACTCAATCAACAACTTAAGAAAAACGATGAAAATGATTGACTTTAAGTATTTAAGTATAAGCGATATTATTCTATAAATAACTTTTATGGTTGCCATGGTAACACACTGTAACCAAGCAAAATCAGTAACTAAGATTGGGTTAATGCTACTGACTTCAGTAAAAACATGAAAATTCAAGACTGGCAAATATGCATCCTTATATAGAACCCTGCAACACCAATTCCATAAGAAAATTTGGGATTAATTGCTACTTTGCGGTTTTACCTAGAAAACAACGTACCAGTTGTTAAAAGTGATTTTTTTTTTTTGCTGCATTAAGGATTTACTTGCCATTAAATCAAGAAATTAATAAAGATATAATGTAAACGCATACTTACAATAAACACGAACCACATAACGAGAACTTGATGGGTAGTAGTAAAATAAAACAGTTGAGCGTGATTTCGCTCTACAATAGCAAGATTTCCCGTCATGATTCCTAGTCGCCGTAAAATTCATGTAAGTATTTGAGCTTGAAAATGTTACATTGGTCTTCTGTTCTTCCCCACAATACCATGTCCACGTGATTGGAGGTTCTCCCAAGGGGTATACGCTACACCGGAATTTTATTAAAGCGCCCTCATAGACATGCCTGACAAAATTGTCAGTGTAGGAATTTATTTGCATGCCCCAATATGGATTTAGACTCGGAGGTGATGATGGGATAGCTGCAATGTAACAAAAACTTATACTGTTTTAAGTTTATGGTTAAGGTAAAGGGAAGACTTTGTGTGTAGTTTATCTTTTATTGATTTTTAAAAAACGGCTTTCATTTCTACTGCAAATGCACTTGACAAAATTATGAGAGTTTTTATAGTAAAGATATCCTTTTCTCCCATTGGTAATTGCAAGAAATGAAAGGGTTCATGTTTGTACATGTACATACATGTATAAGTTATCTGAATCTGGCTTTACAAGTAGCAAGGAAGTAAATCATATTCTTGCATCAAAGTTAACCAAATGCTTTTTTTGAAAAACTATGGGCAGCGGAAAGGGCAAAAATTACCATAATGAGAAAACAAACGGTTATTTTAATTTCAATGACCATAAAAACTTAACAAATGATATACAATGCATAATCAACAGACCTTTTCGCAGAACAAATATACATTAAATCAAAACCAACGACCACGTACGTAACAAACATATACAAATGCAAAACCAACGATCATCTTTGCAGTACAAACGTACATAAAAACACGACAAACGAAAAAAAGTTAACAAACGTGCAAGCGGTAAATCTAGTCTTCCCGGCTCCCGACGGTCCCGGATTTTTTTTTTTTTTTTTTTTTTGGCGATTTCTTTTTTTGTCGGCGCACAGAAACTCTTCGAACTTCTCAAGCACATTTCTAGGTTTAAAAAATTCATTAAATTTAATGGTATAAAAACTTTAACAAATTATTACTGAATCAGCAGTACCATCTGCCAAAAAGCGGTAAATCTAGTACTCAGCTGTAAATGCGAAAACCACTGAAAAAAGGATACCGATGTTTTCTTCGAATCACGATTAAAAACAACAAACTGAGGTATATTTTTTTAATAAATGAAAACCCTCATTTACATGCCAGATAATTTGTATGCACAAAAATTCCCCACACATTTTTTTTTTCGTATAGAACTCTTTGCCACATCATGTTTATGTTCCCAGGCTCTACAACATGGACGTGGTTCTACCTCGGATCCCCCTTTAATTTTTTTTTTTGGGGGGGGGGTTAATTTATCTTAAAAATTTCAAATGAAAGAAAAAAATGTACATAAAATGAAAAAAAATATCTCATTCTCCTGAAGGCCGTTTCGTCATTTTTTTTTTTTTTTTTTTTTGCTTACATAAATTGGTTTTCGCCAATTCTTTAAATATTACAAGAATCTATTATGATAACTTTACATTACAGTGACATATTATATGACAGGCACGTAGCAACATTTCCTAATTTTAAGAGTAAGGTCAAAAAAGGATTATGTAGTACATGTATATTAGGAAAGAAATTGGTACTGAAAGAAGTTGAACCTACCCCCCCCCCCCCCACACACACACACACACACACCCTCACTCTCACACACGAAATAGGATTTTCGAGTTTGGGCTATTTCATTTTGATTTCCTATTGTTTTTGCTTGTCAATTTTTTAAATCTTTTTTCAGCTAGATTGATATTTTTCTCTCTGCATGGTTACCCCCTCCTTTCAAAAACGATGCTACGTCAATGCATAAGAATGAAATACTTTCATTTTGCATGGTTTTACCATAAGTACAATGTTAGATTTAGCTATATTTATGAAAATTTTGATAAAAATCTTTTTTGAAATCAAATCATTTTGATATTATGAATTTAAATTTTCACCTTTTTTATTAACACTACCAATTTTCACTGAAATACTAATTCCATCTACGACACCTTACGTCTCTCTGTATCGATGTCCGTTTTTGGTTTTCATATTTATAACAGAGTACTACATTTACCGCTTTTTTGAAGGTGATACTGCTGATTCAGTAATAATTACGCAAATTTGTTTAAGTTTTTACATATTATTGAATTAATTTAAAAAGAAAATGTGCCTGAGAAGTTTGAAGAGTTTCTGTGCGCCGACAAAAAGCAAAATCAAAATAAGAAAAAAAATTAAAAAAAAAAATCCGTGACCGTCGGGAGCCGGGAGTCTGGAAGACTAGATTAACCGCGTGCATGTTTGTTAACTTTTTTTCGTTTGTCGTGTTTTTATGTACGTTTGTACTGCAAAGATGATCGTTGGTTTTGCATTTATATATGTTTGTTACGTACGTGGTCGTTGATTTTGCTTTAATGTATATTTGTTCTGCGAAAAGGTCTGTTGATTATGCATTGTATATCATTTGTTAAGTTTTTATGGTCATTGAAATTAAAATAATTGTTTGTTTTCTCATTATGGTAATTTTTGCCCTTTCCGCTGCCCATAAAAAACGTTATTTTTTCTTTGATACCCTTGATTTCTGTACAATATTTTCCTGCATTGTGCATATATTTTGGACGTAGTGGTGACGTTTGTAAAAACAATTACTCAAGTGAAGAGGATGTCGACGCTTAAAGTTAAAGTTAGCTTCTTCTTTAACATATCATACATCATCAAAATATGTATAT